GCTTACTATTGTAAATTTTTGCCATTTCTGCTTATTCTTGTGAAAAAGTTGACCTGGATCACACTGGAAGTTTCACTGTATTAATTTCAAGGGTGGAAATAGAAGGATGATTATCATAAGTTATGTTTACACTTTGGTAATATTTGAAAATGGATGTATATATTGGAAATGTCTGTAAGTCTGTGTCTCTACACCTAATTTATAATCTATTATTGCATTTTCTTACATGTCTTAAAAGCATTGTTCTTTATAACTTAATTTGTAAACTTCCAATGGTTAGATGAATGTCCAGCTGACAATGTTATAAATCAAATTCTTATTACTCAAATCATTTAGCTTGTGTTGTAACTCCTTTGATTTTCTGAAGTTAAATTGTAGTAACTTAAGGTCTAAATGAATTATTTTAAATTTCTACTTAAAACGGCTGACATTGTAAAAGTCACTTCATTTGATTGTCTAACAAAGGATAAAATGTAAACTGATGCTCTAAGGGTATGAAAACAAAGTGAAAGACCTCAGCTCTTGTGAACATTTTGCTTTCCTATTACTTCTTTCATTGACGATAGTGCATGATACTTAATTGAAAGTTCCGATGTCTCCCCAGTTCCTACTTTTTAATGCTAATGGTTTTCAGTGTCCATACAATTTAACACGTAAATGTTGCTTCATGAACCTTAAAACCTTTGCAGTTTTTTATTATCAGAAAATGAACGAAAAGGAAATATCTGGTTGCTATGAACTTTTTATTCCCTAAAAGAGAGCTCAGTATGACTGTAACGATAGGCCAAAAGAGTTTTGGGGGTTAAGTTGTGCTTTGTGCGGAGGGGCCGTGTTTACAGGCCAGGCTCTAGACAGCATTACGTGAGCTGGGTCGGTCATTTTCATAACAGGTCTTTAGTTTGATAACAGATTTCTTAAGGACCATCTCCCTTAATGCAGCTCACAGTTTATGTAACGCCGTTCTCATTTTTCCTTTGCCTGAATCAGAAGTTAACTTCAGAGTGTTAAGTTGGGTAGAAACCTCAGGCATCTACCTGTGCACTATTCTAAATTCTAATCATTGAAGGATGAGGTCCAGAAAGAAAATGTCCATATTTACTACTAGAATTATTTTTATTATTACGTGGCTGGGAGGAAGTCAAGTCTCAAAAGAAAATAGTATTATAGGAAATCTGAGCATGCTTCAGTGATTCACTCCTGAAAACCAGCCTGGATATCTTGGCAGATTTTGTTTGCATTTGTCTTGGGTATTTAAAGTCTCGGGAAATTTAATCTTGGTCCAAAACACGGGGGAAAAAAATAATACCAGACCAAACACATTTGAGTATCTTGAAGTAGCAGCACAGAATAGACTCAACTAAAAAGCTGGAGAGGAAAGCAAAAGCCTGCAGAATCAGTTTCCCCCCCGAAAGTAAAAGCATCGGGTTCTATTTATGGTTGACAGAATGCGAGGGTGTCTGTGCAGGTCTGTGGAAGGAATTGTTGTTACTTGAAGGGTCACGAACATATGGACCAGGCAGCCTGTGTCCTGCTTCCAGATCCTCAGAGTAGGGAAGGAAAGAACCATGATTTCCAATGCTTGGCCCTATCCCAACCCCCAAACCACTAAGGGATTCAACAGCAAGTGAAATATAAGGAGTAAGAACAACACACAACTTCTCAATAATGTGCATGCCGTTTGTGTAGATGTTCAGAACTATTTACGTGTGAGTATAGCTCCCACCTTACACATACACACACTCGCCACAGTCACATGGCATTAAAAAAAAACATTGTGTATGGAACTTGGTAACGTCAGTTAGAACCTTGAGCTGTAATCATAGCCTTATTGCCACTTTTTGTGTTGTGTATACATTGAATGGCTCGTAGATTTTAAAAGTTTTTTTTTTAATGTAAGTATTTCTACTAAATGCACTTATCCTTCTACATGTTTATATATTTTGGTAAAATTGATTTATTAGATACTTGGTATTTTAGTAAGATAAAGTTTCTTCAAATGTTGGATTAATGCTTTGACATCAAGATTGCACATTACTGAGGTAGAACTCAGAAGAAATTTATGCAGCTTTGGGCATTTTCAACTGTGGACTGCAGTTTTCTTGGCTAAAAATTGCACTGTGTGTGTTCTCGTGAATTTGTTCACACTTGTAAAACATAATTGGTGACTGTGATGCTTACGTCACTGACTAGTGACTCTCTGGTGGCAGTGGTGCCATCATGTGACCATTTATTTACTTCTGGTGTAAGTCATGACATTTTGGTTGTTGCCAAAAATAATGCAAATTGGTTGTGAGTGTGAGTGTGTTGTTGGAAGGTGTGTGCTTCTGTTTCTTTCAGCTACTTTATTTATACACACAGGTTTTCTGGGAGGATCCGATCATTCATTCATGAAAGAACAATTAGCCAGAAAGAATTATATTACCTAAAAAAGTGAGAATTGAGAGGCACTCCAGCTAGATAACACCTCCCAACAACATCAGATTAGTTAGTGCTTAGTGAATACCTTAAATATAAAGAAATGTATATGTTTTCCTCAATCGTATTTAATATCTTAACTACTGCTTTTGTATTTTTTAATGGTGTTGCAGTTAAACCACTAGTACACCTGCTACGCATTACTGACAAAACTGGACAGCTGTAAAATAAAAGAGAATAAATTCTGTTCCACTGTAAGAAGTTGATTGATTTCCAGCTTTCTTTATATATTAATAAAGGAAAAGAGTTGTTTGAAAATGATTTTAAGTCCAATAAGTATGGACAGCATGTTACCTGAAACATTTAATTTGTACATTTTGATGTCTGATCATTTGCATGGAAGAGACAATAGTGCCATGTCCAAATTGTTCTCTTGTGCTTGGTTAATGTGTCCTTCTCTAGATTGTTCCATTTCAAATGACATTCCTTACTCTTTGGTTTTCAGAGGTGTTCAAAACAAACTATCACAGCAGTCCTTTGTTATCTGAACGATCTAATAATACCTGTGTTTAATTTGTTAGTGTAAATAAATTTCCTGCCAATGAGTATTGTTGTTGTTAGACAACGAATGCAAATAAAAAGAGAAATATTGAGATCTGTCCAAGTAATTTTTTCCCCGTCTCCCATTTTCACCTTCCACTCAAACAAGCCTTGACTGGGTAAACCTGTGTTCACTGTCAAACCGTATCTGTCAATCAGGAGCAAAGTGCACGTTCTGTATGGAAATGAAACTAAAAATAAGTTTGAACACTGGTAAAGTATAAATTGGTGGTTAGAATTACATTTGAAAGCCCAATTATGGGACTGGGCATAAAGTTGAAAGAGCACAACCTCCACTCAAAGCCCCCTCATCATCTCCTGTTCCTGTCACTGCTTCAGCGTAAAGTCCCTGTTACCTACAACCAAGGAAGGCCTGTGACAAGTCCATTAAGCAGTCAGCCTCACACAGTGAGAGGCAAGCTGAGAAAGAATAGGGGCCTAGAGTGTGGGGATATTTTAAACAATTTTATTCCTAAAGCCTTAAAAATTCAGAGGACTTGGATACAGCGAGTGGTATAATATTAATTTTATTCTCTCTTATACACAGATGTTATAATTTATCTGTAGCTAAACCTTTGGCAATGCAAAAGTTTAAATCTAGGCCCCACAGCATAGACAAATTAAGCTGTTTTCCTCTTCCCAAGAGTGTGGGTTATGAAATTCCTAACCAAGCCATGTCCCTTTTTATCTTGAGTATATGCTGTGTCCAATTCGATAGCTTTCCTTATATTGGCAGAATTTGTTTATCGAGAACAGAATGTGATCACTTCTTTGCATGTGTTATGGAGGATAACTACTCAAGAGATTGTTTTTAAATTAGGAAAAGTGGGGTTTTCCCTTAAGCATCATGTTCATTGATAGCTTCAAAACAAATTATTTCAGAGAATCAGCTTCCTGGGTTGTGACTAGCATATCTGAATACTCGAGTATCTGTAGGGCACACAGCTCACTGAAATTATGACTAAAAAAATTAATAATAATAACTACAGTCCTGATATGAAGAATGTGTTTTCTGATAAACAGCCTGTTACTGTTTATTATTTAAGACAGTAGTCTTAAACTGTTGGTAATTAGCAATATCATTTTAGCAAAACATTTTCCTCCAAATGCCAGACCATCCTTATGACAAAGGCCTTAGAAAAATTTTATTGCTAAAGTGACTGCCTCAATGGAATGTCCCAAAGAAGTCAGCCAGCATAGAGGCGATACCTTCAAAGGGAACAAATAACTGAAGATATATGGCCTTTATATGTCAGCATTTCTAGCAAAATAATAACCTAGCCACGCCCCTCAGAAGATGGCCAAAGGCTGTTGATCTTGTCCATTTGTTTACCTTTCTGGGTTTTTTTTTTCAGGCTCCACAGAAAGTTAGAATAGGAACAAAACAAAACACCAGCACCACCATCTTAATAATACAGTCTTTGGGGACATTTAGCTTCACCCGAATCAATTTGTGGACTTTATTCTGACTCTAATTATTGAAGTGAACAAACTCCCTCCTTAATCCAGGTCAAAGAAACCACAATGTACAGTTTGTACCATGATATCAGGCACTGGCAATTGTCAGGTCTGACAACACTTTAAAGAATTTTAAGATGTTGCTACATTCCATTGCTACCAGAGAATTAACAGAAAAAGCGAGAGTGACAGGAGAGTCAGGGTAATTTAGGTGACTAGGGAGAATGTCACCTAAGAAAGCAGAAGTCAGTCTGACCATGTCACTGTGCCTATCGATTGCACTTGGGAAGTCCTTCTGGAGTCACAGGGTTACTTTGTCATGTACATCTAGATTTCTGCGGGTAAACAGAGTCCCCTGAGTGGAGTTGAGGACATGTGAGCTAATCCCTCTCCTGTCTGTCTTCTGAATATGACACAGCAAGATAGCACTCATGTGTTTTCAGGGAACTCAGACATTTTAAGGAAAGTACTTTGAGCATCACATGTAGTTAATCAAGACCTGAAAGTTGATGTAACAAGTCTAGCCATTTTAATGAGAAGAATTTTTATTGGTAAGTGACGCTTTCAAGTATTCCAAGACTGATTTGCTATCACATTCTTCAAAAAAGCCTGTTAAACAGTGCTTTGATGTTTCATGATGTCCAAATTTGGGCTCCACGCTCATTGTTCAGCTATCACTAAACAATTTAAAATGTGGCAAGGCGGTTGGGATGAGGGGCTCAGAGTTTCCATGGTCTGGGTGCAAACCGGCCTGTCAGAGCTCACAACAGAGAGCTTTGTGGAACACAGTGCCAATCAGCAATCTCCCTTTGTACACAGAGGCCACTGTACTGCCCTGCAACACTGTGCCATTTTCGGCGTAAACCAATGTCACTTTGGGTTCCTCTGTTAAAATGTTCTGGATTCGAAGTACCTATCAAAGAAATAACATGAGGTTAACATGTTTTTAAAAGTCATTAAAAATAACTGTAAGCCTGGGGTCATTTCTCTGAGAAGCCATATTTTCTTACATCATTAGATAAATCACATTTTGATCCACAACTACATTGAACACACCTGTTTTTGCATTTGTGCATCGATGGGTTTGGTGTTCTTCAACAGAAGAGGAAAGCACAAAGGCCGCCAGGGGTTGGGCAAGAAATGTACACGGGGCTGTAGTAAATGTGAAGAGGGAGCTGTCACTCAGCCACGGCCAAATTGTTGCCAGGCTATAATTCAGGTCCTTTTCTGTGTAGTTTTAGATAAGCTAGGGATTTGGATGTTTACACTTAATTCCTAGTTTTGAAACACAGGTAATCAAAGAAAAAAGTATGCCCCCCCCCCCAAATTCCCACATCTCTGCACCACACTTGGCCATGAGTTTAAGGTCCCATGGCTAAATGTATAAGATTTTTATAAATTCACTTGCCTTCACTTAGTTGAGGAGAAATTTGAGTGCATCATTAGCAATGCATAATATCGTGTTAAGATGACCTAAGAAATAGCCACTATTTGATCATTCTGGCTGACAAAAATAGGAATTTCATATGATTCAATCTAACTTAAAGAACAATAGGCGGAGGCTGGAGACCTGAGTCACAGCTTGGGTCTTCCGCTTACCATTTGTTTTTTCAGCCACAGAATGAGATGTGTGGGACTAGATTATCTCCTAATTTGAAGATAGGATACCTATATCACAAAAACACCAAGTGTGGCAGACTAGGAAAGCCAGTGCATGGATATAAAAGGGTCCAAGGGAACATGCAAAATGGCCTCTTTCAAAACAGCTGGCACCAAAGACAGATGTCTTAGGAAATTGCCATAGTATTAACATGTAGTAGTTACTTAGAGGGAAATAGCTGATGGTGCACCTTGGCTTAACAAGGCTTCTTGTTAATAAAACTAAATCACTCTTCTGTGGGGAAGTGCATTAGATAATGAATTGTTATTAATTTTTTGCTATTCCTTAGCAGATCCATCACTGGAAAGAAGTATTTTTGTCCAGAACAACAAACCAAGTTCTTGCTATGATCCAAGTTCACCAAATGAGCTAACAAGCGAGAACAAATTAGAATCTAACATTCTGCTCAGTTCTGATCAGTGGACACTCCATAGCATACATTTCTTCAATTCTATTAAGCATACCACTCAGGAATCTTTTTTTTTTTTTTTGAGACAGAGCCTCAAGCTGTCCCCCTGGGTAGAGTGCCATGACTTCACTGCTCACAGCAACCTCCAACTCCTGGGCTCAAGCGAGTCTCCTGCCTCCACCTCCCAAGTAGCTGGGACCCCAGACACCCGCCACAACGCCCAGCTATTTTTTGGTTGCAGCCATTATTGTTGTTTGGTGGGCACCAGGTTGGATTCGAACCCGCCACCTTAGGTGTATGTGGCTGGCGCCTTAGCCGCTTGAGCCACAGGCGCCGAGCCACCACTCAGGAATCTTTATAGCTAAAAACTAGCAGAAAGCACAAAGGATCTCCATTATGCATGATCACCATTGCTCCTGAAAATCTAGAAGTAAGATGTCTGAGAACCACAATGTAATTGGAAATCCACATTTTATTTCTTTTATCCAAGAGATATGGGACACATTTTTTTTTTTTTCTGTTGGGAGGTGAGACAGACTCTTTAAAGTTTAAAAATATAGCGGTAGACAAATATGTCAAAATGCTGCCCTGTATTTGATGTCAAAACCAGGCATAATTAGTGCATACAGAAAATTTAAAAATATACCACATAAGTATTTTGCCATTTTGGCCATTGACAAAATAGTTCAGTGAATAAAGACTGCAGACAAAAAACATGGGGTCTTTGAGTCTTATGTCAAATGTGGAAGAAGAGATCGTCTAAGCCAAAACAGAAAAATGTGATCTTCCAGCAAGTGATCTATCTCCCCATTCTGCAGAGAGGGTCTAGACAGACGAGACCCACATCCCAGCATCACAAAATCTGCTCCAGGGTGGGACCATTGCATTGACTTGTGCACGTACTGATGCACAGGAAGGGGGAGTCCAATAAATAGAAAGCCAGGTAACAGATGAGGTACCACAGCCAACAGGCATTTTTCCCAAGTTAGAGAAAGTTGCTGTTAAAATAAAGATAGGGACTTCTGTGCAGTTCTGGGTCCCCTGGCCCTGGCCCTCCAGGCCTGCTGTCCACTCTGCTGACTTGTACGGAAGCCTCCTTTGCAGGGGCTCCCTTGGCTTTCTGCTCCCAGCACCAGGAGCAAGGAAGAAGAGGTCTGAGGGGATATGGGGTATTTACTCTCCAGCCTTCCTCCCTGCAGGGCAGCTGCTAGTTGGCTATATCCCTCAACAACATGGCCAGTTCCTTTCAGCCCCCTCCACACACAGCTGTCTCCTTGTTCTGGCTTCTAGTAACCATTTCCAGTCCCCCTTGCCAACCCTGGGTGCTGCGTTATTCTCTGTTGATTTCCCTACATTCTGCCTGCACCTTTGCATATAGTCCCTTCATTAAACTCTCCTTACACAACCCTATTTAGACGTAGCATCTATTTCCTGCCTAGAAGAAAGCATCTCCAGAAGCTCTTTTTTCCCACATTGTTTGGACTATCTATCCATGTCTCCCCTCTTATTTGCACATACAATTAAGAATTATGTTTTCAACTGAAAAATAGCTAGGAATAAAGTCAATGATCGGGTTCATTTTTTAAAACTAACCTCAGATGCAGGAGGATTCTCGGGATCGTTGTAGAAGATTCGCATGCCATTGGGATGGCATCCAACCCAAAGGTCCCCTGTCACAGGATCCACGGATATATTATCCACCAGTGTGTTAAAATCAAGGGACTGCCAAGATTAAAAATGAGGAGAGAAGAAAAGGCAAACAATGAAACTAAACTGTGATGGAGCAATGTGTCAGAGAAAACAGTCCTACAGTCCTTGGTCCCCCCACTGCTGCTTCCAGGGACACAACAATTCTGTCCCATTTCAGTGGGATTCAAAAAACTCCCCCTGGTCTTCCATGTATGTTAGCATTTTGTCAGTTTCCAGGGCACATGGGGGTAGGATGAAGATACAGAAAGCCAAGAAACACTGTTAAAAGTCAGGTGAAATCACCTGAACTAACATCTGTGTGCAAACCTAAAACTAAAAAAAAAGAAAAACAAAGAAGTTGTAAGTGCAGCATAAAGCCATTTCTTCTAAAATGGCATGTGCAAGTGATATTTTTATAAGCATTCAGAAAACAACCAGGAAATGTAGATTCATTTCTGACCAGAGCATCAATGAAATGTGGGCTCTTTAATGGCTAATCATAGGCTGGGCAGGCTGAGAAGAAATGATCACCTGGGGTCTAATTTTTGCCTTGGAGTTGAGGAAAAGTTTGTTCTTTAGCTTCCTGTTGTTATTTAACTTCCTGTTCTTCTGCTGTTTATTCTCTAAGTATAAGTTGCAAGCGTGTGATGACTGCACAGATTGCTGTCGAGTCTTTATACCAGGATCATAAATAATACCGATGATTCTTAATTCCACCATTCATCATCTTGGCTGCCGTCTACCGGGGACAAATCCCATCTATTTGTTCACCTCTAACTCTCAGTCAGAGAAACAATATCCACCATGTACCTCAGCGCCCAGAGGCCCTGTAAATAACTGGTTGTGACTCACTGCAAAGGCCAGAGCGTGGGCAGGCAGCTGCCCCGAGCTTCCTACTCAAAATGAGAGCTGCCCCCCCAAGCCCACAGAGGGATTAGAGGGCTCAAGCGTCAAGACACAGCCTCCTTCTCACCTTCCTGCAGAGAGCCATCACTCCTGTCTACCCTGGAAACAGGCACAGTAGTAGCCAGAGGAGGTGGCTGAGCACGGTCCCCTGGTCCAAAGCAGCTGCCGGCTCCCCCACCCCCACCCCCTGCCTGCATCCATCCCCGTGTCAGCAGGCTACTCTGATGCATTCATTTCTTTAAATAAGGAACATGTTTGTCTCGGGGCTCTGCTATTATCTTTGGAAGGGGTACAGCCATAGCGGATGGAACCCACTGAGCTGACAGTCGGGGGTGGGAGTGGGAGAAGGACACGGAGGCCCAGGGTCCCGTCCGTTCAACACGCAATTACTGAGCTCCTACGTGCGCTCTGCAAGGAGCTTAGCACCTGGAGAGTGCTGAGTACCTCGGCAGATACGGTCCCTGCCGAGGAAGAGCTGGCAGTCCAGCAGGGAGCCTGTTCTGAGTCCAGAAATGAACTCTTGTCTTGCAAATAAGTAATTCCTCCCCGTGCTGACTCACTACAAGGCGTGCGTTTATCACATCGCACACTCCTGCAAAGCCAAGTGGAAAATTTTACATTTCTTAAACACTTACACGGGGAAACTTAATAAATTATTCTCTTTGAGAAAAATTGTATTCCCTGTTAACAAGTAGCCCAATTTTTAGAGAATTGAAATTCACTAAAGTGTGGCTAATCCATTAACTAAGTCTTGGGATCTTTTCTGGAGGACAGAATTATTGTTATTGTGGTAAAATACGATTTGCCATTTAACCATTTTTACGTGTATAACTCAGGGGCATTAAGTACGCTCACAACGTCTGTACCCATCATCACTGTCCATCCCCAGCACGTTCAATCATTCCAAGTGGAAACCCAGCACTCATTACACAGTGACTCCCTATTCCCTTCCCCCTGAGTCCTTGGTAACTGCCCTTCTATTTTCTGTTCCTGTAAGTTTATTTACCTATTCTAGGTTCTTCATACAAGTGGAATCATGTAATATCTGCCTTTTTGTAACTGGCTTATTTCACTTAGCATGACGTTTTCAAGGTTTACTCACGTTGTAGCGTGTGTCAGATGGTCACTTCTTTTAAAACCTGAGCAATACTCCATTCTACGTGTAGACCATATTTGGGCAGGACATAAACTCATTCATGCCTCATCATGAATTTTCAAATTAGCTTCAGCTAGTATACCAAATTACGTGGCACTCTCAGGTATCAATTAACTGGTATTAGTTAATACTGTCCTTCAAAAGAAAGAATACAATTCTAGTCGAGAGGTAGCCTCTACATTCTGAGTTATTATCATGGGAGACACGTGAGGTCTGTTGCCAGGAGTGGGCCCCAAACCTGAAGTAAGCCTTGCCTTACAATCTTGCCTCTGTGGGAGCAGGGCCCTGGCATTCTGTTATGAATGTATATTGAACTGGGTCCTATTCTTATAAATTCCTTTAAGTTTCGATTTACAGAAGTACCTACTGTTACAACCACAGTTTGTTGTTATTCCCTCAGCCAGTACGACTGTGTGAAATTCCATTTTACTTCAGCTAATACCAAACAGCCTGCCCATGATTTTTAATGTCAAACACAATATTACATTTGATGTTGCTTCGAGATAATTTTCTCGAGTGAAAGCTCTCGTGACAGTAGCTCAGATGTGCTGACAGGAACAGTCATTCAGTCACTGGGGACAGCGCATCCTGCTGTGGTGACTATGGCAGAAGAGCAAGGTCTTGTTTTCCAGGGACGGGGGCCCCTTTCATTATGTTCCGCTTTACTCTTAGTCTCTCTTCCCCTGCCTCCCCGTCCCCTTTGGGTTTTTATCCCTTTTGACTCAAACCTTTGGACTGGACCAAATTAGTGGGGGCAGAAGGTGAAACTCTGTAGCATGCTCGGCACCCCCACCACATTAATTTAACAAGTATTTGTTGAGTGCTGACTAGCTGTTTAGAACTGTTCAAAGAACAGATAGAAAAAAAAAAAAAAACTCGCCTGGTAGACTTTACACCCTAGTGGGGGAGTCAGCTAATGAAGACAATAAGTACAATACTAGCATGTTGGTAATAAATGCTGAAAGGAAAATAAAACCGTAAGGGAGCCAGGAAATATGCAGGGTGGAGGAGCAGGGTTGCAAGTATAGATTAGGAGGTAAGGAAAGGCCCACTAAGATGACACTTTAGTAAAACTGGAAGGAGGTGAAGAAGAGAGCCACAGAGATCTGGAGGAAAATCCAGCAGAGTGAACAGCGCCCTCCTGAGGCAGGGCCATGTCTGGGGAGCTCCAGGATAACCCAGAGGCAGAGGGGGCAGGGCAGAGGCACAGCTGGGGAAGGAGGCAGAGAGACCATGGGCGGCCAGATTGCACAGCAGCCCACCATGAGCACGTGGGCTTTATACCTCCCCTGGAGAACAGTCCTGAATTAAGTACATGTGGAGACTCAGTTTTTGGCTCTTCCATGAACACATACAGAGAACAAGGAGGGTAGAAAGGAGGAAGATTGGAAGAGGGGAAGGAAGAAAGGGAAGAAGAGCATAGAGAGGAAGGGAGGGAGGATCTGGGAACACAGGGCCCAACTTAAAATGGACTAAAGCAGAAAGAATCGACGTTTCCTAAATAAAATAGGTGGTTTGCTGTTTCCCACTCTGTAGTTGAGCAAAAGTGAACAACAAACACGTAACCATGCTGATGACTCTTAATAAAGCAGTGAAAAATTGGTTCTCACCCACTCCAATTAGACAATCCTTTTTTCCTCCCATTTAATTTCACAAATCAATTAGAATCTAATTATCACTCTGCAAACTTATAGTGTTAATACATCTTACCTTCAATGGAGTTAAAGTCCAATTAGCATGCTTTTCATACACATGAATCTTATGAGCCAGCAATTCAGCTATATAGACATACCTTCAAAGAAGAAAGAGCTACATCAAAGTACTTGAAGTAATGCAATTCAAAAGGTTAGAGTTGTAATAACTCTTCCTCGGGAAGAGCTTTGCTTATGGACTGGAAAATGGAACCCATCTCGAAGCACCCCAAAGCACACTAAATTCTAAAAGAATTGAGTGAGTTTACAGTGCACAAAGGAGTTTAATCTCTGAAAAGTTATTTCTGAAGGTGGGAACCTAGTCGTCCCTGATCAGTGGGGAAGTATGTGTGCAACATCACACCACCAAGCTGTGATAGTCTAAGTACATCCCAGAAGAAAAAGAGAAATTTCTTCTTGGTTATCTCCCATTTTTGAAGACCAGGAGATCATATGAATAGTTAAAAGCTGTTCATGTTGTTTCTCCTAAACACAACAGAATCTTCACAGTTGACCACCTCCCTTCATTGACCACCTTCTTAAGTTTACTGACTTTTCAAAGACCAGACACACACCACATGTACATATCAGCAAAACAGGCCTAGTTCCTCATGTTGAGCACCTCTGTAGGTTGACCAGTTTGTTACAGTCCCTTGGATGATCAACTTACAGAGGTTCTACTATGTATGTTACTAACTCTCTGAAATCCCTGAGGAAACTAGATGAAGAAGGGTATAGATGGATATATATATTATATGTACACACATATATTTATACATATACCTCTGCCACCCAAAGTGTGGTCTCCAGACAGGTGTTGGTCTGTAAATTGTCTATTTTAGGCCCACCACCAAATAAGGTTATAAATCAACTACACGATTAAACACACTGCTTAGTTAAGCTGACTTTTTATTTCAGCATAGGACTTTCTTGATGAAGGAAGCAGTGCCCTGATTTACATTTGGGGGCAAGCACCTTATCTTGTCAGAAGCCAGCACTGTTGCTATATATACCTGCATACGATTAATCTCATCATACATTCAAAAATCTTCCCTCCAAACAAAGCCAGTTAGAAATATTAAATCTTTATCATAGTTCCCTCACTTGAAATGAACTATTTTTTTCCAAAAAGAAAATAAAAGCAATATGCCTACACAGAATAAAAAATTTTGATTTGATACATTTTATAGCCCCTGAACAATGAAAAGATGTTTTACATTTTTTCCTAAGTTCATTTCACTGGGAAAACCAGTTAAAATGTGTAACATTATTTAGATAAGGAGTATGTTCTTAGAGATATCTAATGCGAATCTGAGTAAATCCATTACATGGTAAAGCATTTCCATACTTGCCATCAGGTGAAAGGCTGATTCCGTTAGCAAAATCGAATCCTTCTGCCACCACTCGAACTTCATTTGGAGAATAGTAAACAACATATGACCACGATAAACCCAAATACAACTCCCAGGATCGTAAGTAGGGGTGAACAAAATAGTGATCATTTGTGCCATAAAACTGCTCAGGTCCCACCGCGACAATATCATTCAAACTGCAATTAAAAGGCACACACATAATATATACAGATGAAAGTATTGCACATTATAGGATTAGGAATTGTCATCATTATTGTCTATTCCTAAAATCAAAGTATGGGATGGAACCTTCATGCTGGCTGTAATGGCACAGAATCAATACGATTATCATCCCTACCTAGACAGTCCTCAAAGGGAATAGTTGGTCTAAGAAATCCTAAGAGGTGATCATGGCACTGTAACATAAAAGTCCTATTGATTACCTCTTAAAAGTAGTGTTATAGGGTGTGCATTTGTGAGTGTGTATAGATATACTAAATTCAGAGGACATTAAATTAGGCCAGAAATCATTATCAGGGCAAAACGTATCTGTGCTCATGTAGAACTGACTCCCTATCAGTCCAAGGTATCATAAGACAATGGAAAAAACTCTCAACTGGCAGCCTGGAGACTTCTTTCTAGTTAAAGCTCTGCTACTACTAACCATGTAATCTAGGGAAAATCAATCTTTTCACATGTCAGGGCCTCAGTTTCCTTATCTATGAAAGGAGGATGATGAACTGGTCTATTCTCCAGCCTTAAGGTTTGGTGAGTCTAAATGGAATAAAATGTCCATGAACAAGAATGCTCAGAAATAGTTATGATATGGTTTCTTTTCTTTTTGTTTAGGATTCTCTCTCTGTTACTGAAAATGTTAAGATATATGAGCCTATTTTTCTGCTTTAATAGGTACAACAGAGAACACATAAGTGAGTCATTCTTTGCTGATTGAGGTGACGGAAGTTCCCCAGGGCCATGATCTTGGAGAAAATGATCTCTGTTCTATTGCAGAGGGCGTAATGGCCAGCGCATCAGCTCTGACGCAGCTCTGCGCTTTTGGGCAAGTTAGACAAGCGTTCAGAGCCTTAGTTTTCTCGCCTGTAAAGAGAGGTTAAATAATTTCTCCAAAGTCATACAACTCGTTAGTAGAAGACTAAGGGTCAGAATTTTAATTTGAGGATTTGCAGTGGGAATTACAATGAGATAATGCCTGTTGTGTGCTTTGCAGGGAGCCTGACACTCTCTAAATCCTCAGTCAATGGTAGTCCCTCTTACTAAACGAAAAAAAGGTCTAGGAATTTAAGATGAGTCTGGACAGACTCCAGACATAAATCTGCAAGTTGGTTTTACATTCTCTTTTTTTGAAAGTAAATTTCTGAAATCAGTATGCATTACTATCATTTCTCTGCTTTTCATAGAAAGGAGATGAATGGAATGGTAATAGCTTTGCAATCTGATGGACTTCACTGGAATCCTGACACTGCTTGCCATGGTCACAACATGGGGCCACAGTGTGTTGTTAAATGTACAGCCACTTCTCTGAACCTCAGTTTTCTCTCTATACCTTGAAAGACTGGGATAAGAATAAAATGAAATAATTACTGTAAAGGCCTTCGCTTCATGCCTCACATATAAGAAATGACCACTAATAACAGTGTGGTATTATTATAATGACAGGCTTAAATTATAATTGATTCAGAAACTGGAACACTAATGTTATAAACAACCATCAAGTACAAAGCAGAAAATACACATGGCTAACCATCAGGTTGAAAGGGCAGAATTCTACTTAATCAGGGCATCATGGTTATTTTTAATAATAACTAAATAATTTTGCAACTGGCCCAGAAAAAAAATTCCCCAACCCCAGGAAGTTGGACAAACCTGAGATTTTTCAAGATTAAATGGCAAAACAAATAAAATAAGTTTTCCCTATTTTGGAGTGGTATAGGACACTAGCACTGGACTCAAGCTACCAGGACTAAAATCCCAGCTGCACCATTTACTGTTGGGCTCATCTGAACCAATATAACAAATCCCCAATCTTGAATATTTTTTAACTTGTGATGGATATAATAATAAAACACAAAGAAGATGGTATTTGTACAAAGTCAAGGAAATAATTTGTTTAAATTGGTTAGTGCAGTCTGACATAGAGTTTAAGTTCATTAAATTGTTATTATCACTATCATTATCATCACTAGCCCAGCTTCATTTACACACTTTTCCCTATGTTAGATCTTCATATTCTTCCCACACGCCAAACCCTCAGTGACCTCATTCTCTTTCCAAAGTATATTTGCTGAATGAATAAACTCTTCCACCAAAGGGTCTCAGAATTTTCACTCATTCCAGGGGTGCAGAAGAAGACCTAGGCTGTAGATCCTCATTGGCCTCTAATTAATTGATTGACCTTCATCAATAGCTCAATTTCTCTCCAATCTCAGTTTCCTCATCTTCAAACTACCAGGTAAGAAAGGTGAGGAAGGAGCATTGATAGCACAGAGTGTACACTACATACCAAGCATTTTACTAGGCACCTACAAAGAGTACAAATCTAGATTTACAAACATAGAAACAGTCAAATACTGTATGTAAATTATGCAAATAGGGACTAGGATTCTGGAACATCATAATAATTAAGTGGTAAAGATTACTTTGGAAGACAGTGTTAGGTTGTTGTTCTAAATCCATCTCTATACTCACAAGCCAAATCTTCACAGGGCAAGCAGGGAAGTTGACTTTCTGTTGGGTTGGCTGGGATTTGGGATTCTTGGGTGTTTTTTTCCCCATATGTTATATGGTCAAGGAGCCTAGAATGGAGCTGAGTATTAACCTAGCTCTGCTATTACCTAAATTACATGCAACCAGAGGGAGTAGAGGTCATATGAGAAGGTCTCAGAGGCACTAGATTTTGGATCATCTCTTAGATAAGTATTTCTAATTCACAGAAAAATCTACAATTCCATTTTTTTCACTAAAATTAAAATAAATAAATTATCTCAAGATATGGAATTTGTCTACGAAGCCTGTTTGGGTTTGAAATACCAACTCTGGTTGAAAAAGGGCAGAGTTTTTATTTTGTTTTGTTTTGTTATAAGAGCTTGAATAGAGAGTCTGAGGCCAGGAGCCAGGAGCCAATGTTCAACCAGCCTGGCAAATGAAGGCAAAAACAACAGGTCTTCTCTGAGGGCCTTGAATCCTCAAAGGTTCTGCAGAGGAACATTTGGAAGAGCTTGTGATCATTAGAAAGGCAAATCAAACAGCCACCCTGGCCAAAAGGAAAAAAACTAAAAGTTGATTTATCTACCACTGCTGTTAAAGGAAAATAGAAATATGATATATCTCAATACTTAGGCAGAAGTTTGTGTCTGATGGTTTTTAGATGCAAAAGTGATTTTTCCTCTTCTTGAAATTTAAACAATTCTACTGTGGTCTTGCCGTCTGGATGGTTCACCACCAGCAGGTATACAGTATTATCTGAGAGGAGATTAAAAACAAAAATTGAAACATTAACTGAGCTCTCAGTTGTCAGCCCTCTCTCCAAAAAGCAATTTCAGCCCACCTCCAGCTAGTACTTAGGATGTCAGGCAGATGGAATATTTTCATCTCTTTGTACAGAGAAGCATTCCAAAGAAAAGTGACTTAAGGAAGAACCAGTGACAGTCTCTACACACTCAAAATTCCACTGGAGGAAAAAAATTAGGAACTTAAGAATGAACATCACTGTCACTAAAATTCCAAAGAGCTTGTTAAGCTTTCTAGTTCAAATGATCTCTGAGAGATGTAGAACTGAGGCAAAAGGGTTAAAAGATGCAGAACTCCCAATATGAGAAGGTGTGCTCAGGTGTAATTTACACTACGCTGATAAATTCTGTAAGAGGAACATCTAAAAGATAGGAGCAAACAGAAGCAGCTTCTGTGAGTCAGAGGGATTTTTGGTCAAGAAAGTGTGATCAGAGTTGGCAAGTGAAGTTAGATTATGGCCTGTGCCCTAAGAAGCAGTAGTCATTGGATATCTCTAACACGATCAAATTGGTGTTTAAAGGAAATGATGAAAAGCTTGGCAAGTTGAACTGAAGAGATAGGAACAAGGAAGCCAGCCAAGAAGCTTTATATTAACCCATTCAACAAACCAGTGTTTACTGTAGTTGGTGTTAAATGCTGTAGTTGAAAAATACAAGATACATAGAGTAATGAGATATTTTCTTCATGGAAATCAGGGATGTTCTCTCTGGTGAAGGGATGTTAGAACAAAGATTGACATGAAATAAGAGAGCAATCTCTGTGGATATTGGTGAAAGAGCATTCCAAGCTGAGGGAAGAGGCATGCAAAGGCCTGAGGCAGAGCTTCCTAGACACATTCACCTCACAGTGGGGTTGTTGGGGAGCAGAGTGAAAGGAGAGTGAAAGAGAGGGAGGGCTGAGCCACAGGGAGCCAGGTCACTTTTGCTGGGGCTGAGGGTGAGGATCCCTGGTTTCCTCGGTGTGGGGGTGGGGGGTGGGAGTGTCCTTGAGTCAGGGAATAACATCCTGAGATTCCATCAGCAATCCAGGTATGTGGAGGGAAGGAATTGAATCAGGAAGATGCCACCAACAAAAGAAAAAAAAAAAAAAAAAGGCAGAGAAAGGCATTTGACAGGAAGCACCAAAAGACCCTGGTAATGGCCGAGGAGTGAGTGAACCGGAAATCAAATATAAGTGAGGATTAAAACCCAGATTTATATTTTACATGAGAGATTCTACTTCTAGAAATTTACTCTAAGAAAATAGTCTCAGAAGGTACATATGTGAGGATGTTCATTTTGGCACTGTTTGCAATGAGCAGAATTGTGGGAACATGTTGAGAATCCAAGAGCAGATGAACTCTATCCTGGCACGCCCACACAACAGGATCCTGAGTGGCCAGCACAAAGAGCTCCAAATGTGCTATCAGAGAAAAGAGTCCATGGTGTAGTATTTAATGCAAAAGCAATTTATAGAGGGGGTTGTATTTTCATTTTTAAAAGTATGCACACATCCAACACTATATTTTTGGCACTTAAAAATATTTTAAAAATAAAATGTAATGGTGATGAATGGGAGCATGGGTGGAGAGACCATTAAAAAGGATATGTAAAAGGCACATGGGGGCCAGGTGTGGTGGCTCATGTCTGTTATCGTAGCACTCTGGGAGGCCGAGGCAGGAGGATCACTTGAGCTCAGGAGTTAGAGACCAACTGAGCAAGAGCAAGACAATGTCTCACTAAAAATAGAAAAATTAGCCAGGCATTGTGGCAGGTGCCTGTAGTCACAGCTACTTGGGAGACTGGGGCAGGAGGATTGTGTGAACCCAGGAGTTTGAGGTTGCCATGAGCTGGCTGATGCCATGACTTTCTAGTCAGAGCAACAGTAAGACTCAGTCTCAAGAAAAAAGTCACGTGGGGAAGAGGTGAAAAGGGGAAGATAAAAGGATGGAAAGTCATTATTCAACATTTTGCATTTAAAGTGGCCATCGGAGTGAGGCCTAATTGGAAATATCTAGTAAGCACTCCCAGTAAAGGAAGTAAAGGGCTAAAGAAAATAATAATAATTATACCCCATATTTGAGGATGTTCTCCTATAAAGCAGGCACCATGACACTGGTTTGAAATTTCTGAAAAAATAAAACATGGAACCTCTGGGGGTGTGGCCAGAGAGCTGGCAATGAGTGATGAAGCAAGGAATGGGGGAGAAAACCCGGCAGCAGGATTAGAACCAGGACAGAGAAGCATGTGGCATCCAGGGAAGAACAGGTTTGTGAAGGAAGAAAGGAAGGAGAGGAAGGAGGGAGGGGAGAGGAGGTTTATTAGTAAGGACATCACTGATGGCTGTCAAGGGATTTGAGCCACTTCTGAGGGACTATCTGATGAGGAAATGGAGGCAACAGGTATAGACATGATTCTTACCCCAGCCTTACATTTTTATCACCTGGACAACATGTATTTGCTTCCAGGCTTCCCTCAGACCAATTAAATCAGAATCGCTGGGGCTGGGGCCTGGGCATTGTTTTTGAAATCCCCAGGTTTTTCCGTGTGCAACTGGGGCTGAGAATTAATATAGAAAACAAAGAAATGCCGGCAAATAGAAGGTAAAAATGGGATGGAAGCTTAAGGGACAAGGACAACAAGTTACACTGAAAAGTCTCACAACATGGAGAAGCAGTTTGAATACAGAACAGAGGAGCAGGGGGCATTGAGGTGACGAGGCCAGGAAAGACCTGACCATGGTGACTTTCATTGAATGCATAGGAAGCAGATGCCTTAGGTTAGAAAAATCTCTTCATGTAAAATGCCTGCGTGTTTAAAATAGCTTAAAATAGAAAACCTATAATGATTAGGGCTGAAAATTATTATTATAGTAATTATAAGGATAATGTGAATGCTGGTATTTTATAAAATTAGGTGCTTTACAAATCTTAAATATCTTAGCATTCTCAAGTATTTAAGCAGCTTCAATATTGTACTTAATTAACATAGGGGGTAGGTTTAAAATCCAGAATAAGAACATTATTCGTGATTATGCTTTGGATGGATGAGGAAAAAAATTGTTCATTCATTGGCATGTTATTTTCTGTGTTTTTTTTTTTTTAATTTGGTTTTGTTTTTAAGGAACAGTAAATGTTGTCACCTTCATCTGTGAATGTGCTGATCCCATGAGGGTTAAATGAAGATAAATCAAATTTACTTCCAGTGATCTCCAATTCCAACACTGTTAGACCTTTTTCATTCAGGTCCATCAGAAGTATTTTTCCAGGATTAGCAGGTTCAAAATCCTTTAGTCCAGGATATTTTAATCCCTTGTAAAATGTGGAAGAGAAAAAGCAGGCACGTTACAAATACAGGAGAACTTCCGTAAGTTGACCAGTCAAGAGAGTGTAACAAACTGGTCAGCATAAAGAGGTGGTAATATGAGGAACTAGAGCTACCGATGCAGCACTGATAGGGGCATGTGGTGCATGTTCAGTCTATGGAAATTAGGTCAATTTAAGGAGGAGGTCAATGCAGGGAGGTGGCCAACTATGCAGTTCTATTGTACTTCAAATGCTAATGGAAGTAGCAGATAGCACATGGCTTCTCTGAGCCACAGGGCTGGTCACAGGGCCAAATTGGAAGCCTCTTACCCAACTTAATGCAATAGGTCCCCATGGGACTCTGGAAGCCACATGCTCCACCAGGCCACCCCATACAAACTCATCAATCCCCTGCACCAAAGTCATATGTGGACCATGCCACAACTTCTAGTCCTTAAGATCAAAAATGAAGAGCAGACCAATGGGGCAATTACTAATTATCTTTAATAATATAAGCAAGCAATACAGAGAGAACATTGGTTGTGGTCTTTAAACTGTTCTCTAGCAGGTTCTTGGAAGAATCTCAGGGCAGAGGTTTAGAAAAAGTCTAGCGGGGCCAGGGAACTACTCCTCCTTCAATCAGAACAACAAAGCTATTGCTTTATATATTGGAGTCCTCCTACATAAGATTTTGCTTGAAATATGCATTCTGCTGTTTTGAAAAGGTTTGCAAGATACAGCTTAAAGGATGACAAGTCCTCCATCTTCCTAAAAGAAAATTAGACTAAATAAGTGAGAATAAGTAAGCAAAGGGTTTTAAATGGCTGGACGACTTGTCTATTGTATCCTATCAACTAACTCCATTATGTTATGTTACGTTATGATCCCTAGACCAGAAGGTTGACTCTTTTGTTTTGAACTGTATCACCTATCAAAGTGATGTCCATGCAGCAGAGTTTCACCAAACAGGGTGGGGTTTATTTTTAAGACCTGGGAATTGTAGGATGACCTATCAACAATTTTAAATTAAAGGTATAAAAAATTAACAATTGAAATGATTTACAAGGGAATATATATATATATGTATGTATGTATGTATATAAACATATACTTAATTCAGAAAATATTTGAGCATACCAGGTAAAAGTTTCAAAGGATAGACCTGGAAACCCTTCTTAAATGTATTGAGCTCACAGACAAATTGGTACAAAGAAAGCCAAGGTAATGTAAAATGTTCAATGTAGACACAAGAACCCAGACACGCATAGAACGCATATAATCATAATTACAACACTAATGCAAATGTAGATGGAGTTTGTCTTTAGAGCCACATGACTGCTCATTTTATTGAAAGATGGCATTGGTATACAAAAGGCCTACGTGAAAGATTTAAACTGCCTTTCCTAGAAATGTCCTAAAACACAGTAAGTGAAAGGAAACACTCACAGAACTAATGAAAGCCAGACCGTTAGGCAGTATCTCCAAGTCTTCTGAGCCATTTTCTGCCAGAAAGGAAAACAGACAGGACAGATTGTTCCATGTTAATGCAGAAAGCTGATGACCCATTTGTTCATCACTCCTCCTTTGGAACCAGGAGGACAATATATTAGCTCCTCTTTGATAGGTTTAGAATATTCATTCTCCCATTTATTTATTCAAATTGATAAATGTGATTTTTATGGAAATCGAAAACATATTAATATCATTTATAAGTATAATTAAAATATATGCTTGCTACATGTATACAGGTATTTGTTTTAAATTTATAGATTGGAACCTTATTCCTTAAAGCCTGAGTCCTCTTACACAAAGTTCATAGAAAGTCAACAAAATGTATAAAAGATGTGGTAATTTGAAAAATCTCGATGTTTTTTAAAGATACAGGGTAAACTACAAATACATATTGGTAGTAAATATAAATTTACTATTAATTCTAAATATCAGTTAAATATCCCTACCTTCAAGTTAGTTATACTTTATACATGTAAATTTTTAGAATTATAATTAGAGACAAATGAACTATTTGATTTCATATTTAAACTCTTAGTGGAGATGTTTTTCAAATACTCGGTAATATTTGATATCAATATGATATTTTTCTAGGAAAAATGTTGAACCGTAAGATACCTAGCCAAGTTTAATATTAACTAAGTCTTCTGGTCTAGCCTTCTGAACTTTAGTCAATCGAGATAAATAAGTCTAAAAAAAACCCCACAAAAACAAAAATCACGCAGAATATAGCAAAAACACGGAGTTCACATAAGTTGTCCTCAAATAACAAAGCTGGTTGGTTGAAAGCAGTTAGGGTGTTGAGCCCTGGGACACTCCCTGTTGATGGTCCAACCAGCAGCAAGTCCCCTGACCTTTTTTAGTTTGGTTGGCAGGGGCTGCCTTCCATGGCAGAGGCCGGCCTGATAACTAGGAATATATTCCCAGCTTCCTTTGCAGCTAGAGCATCAGCCTGTTCTCCAGTTCTGACTAATGAGGTCTAAAGGGAAATCTGTTGAGAGCTTTTGGGAAAATTCCTTTGCTGATATTAAAAGAGAGATGCATGAGGAGAAGCCTTGTGGTAATTACATAGGCCTGTGAGAGCATTTCTTTTCTTTAATTATCCTTTCCTCATTGCATTATGTCCTCTTCTTTCTCTCTCCTGCCATCTCCTTAGGTTAGATTACCATGAAATCAAACATCATTCTGACTATTGGTTTTCCTCTACTGACCAAACAAAAATAAACAATTAAAACTGCCAACACCTTGGCAATATGTTGATGAAGCTGAGAGTCAAACAACATGGCATTTATAATTAACTACTGACTTTATGATAAATATCCTCCTGGTTTAAAGTTTTATTTTTGGACAAAGTTAAACAGGTACATTAATCAAACAAATAGCAAGATAATATTGCCAGTTCAAATGAGACTCTTTATCCTTTCACATACATACCAATTCCTTTAACGAAATTACAGTTGGGAAGTTCCACTGGTGTTACTTCTCGGACAGCATTCATTCGGGTTCTGTGGGGGAGAAAGAAAATACACACAAAACTATTCAGAAATTATAATTAAGTTGCAAAGGTAAGCAGTCCACAAAGTTCTCCTTAATTATACTTTGCCTCAGTTCCACCCCAGAGTTAGTGGTTCCTGGCATCTGCAATTCTATCAGGTAAGGGCAGAGCAAGGTAAGTGGGGACCTCTGGGCTCAGCAATTGTTAATAGCATTTATTTAGTGGAGGTGGAGAGACACACAAAGGAGATACAGAGAGTTCAGTCCAGGGCTCTTGCAGTTTGGCAGGAGCAGGAACTATCTCATCATTTGGGTAAGGACTCCTACCTGGAAAGCTGTAAGGACTCCTACCTGGAAAGCTAGACTCCTACCTGTTAAATGGCAGTATGGTTCCAGTTTACTCCATTGATGTTTTAGGGTTGCTGACACATGGGCTTCCTACCCATCTGCCCAGTCTGGTTCCACAGTCTGGATTGGGTATCTGCTTTTGAATGTAGTACTTGAAAAATGCAAGCGTGTTCAAAGGATTTGCAACTTCAGAAAGTCATATAAAAAACACATATATGCACATACACACGAGCAACTTAGTAAAGATGAGTTCATAAACACTGCGGGGAATGTCTGAGTAAAGGACAGAGGAAAAATGAACAGACATGAGCGCCAGCAGGCTGAGCAGTGCAAATCTATAGATGAGGCATTTGAAAGAAACAGGCCACAGCGTGAGCACAGCCAAGACATCTAAACATTAACATTTTTTAAGAGCTAGTGATACAATAAAGTCGTAGTGAGTCACGGTGATTATCCAAGAATCCCTAGAAATCTTATCTGGCTACAGGTAGGTTGAGAAATTCATTACTTGCCCCACTGATAATTTAGTCTCACAGAAGGAAAAAGATGGGCTAGAGGTGAATGGACATTGAATAAAATTCTTACCATCATGGTATACAATTATAGGAACTTGGGGACAATTGGCGTTTACTCATACATTTAGAGAAAATTGTGTATGCACCTACTGTCAGACCATTGGCTGTCAATTCCACCCTCTATGAAAGTCTGACCTAAGAGGTTAGGAGTGGGGTCTGGCAATCTGCTTTGTAAAAGCACCACAGTTTGTCGTGTTCAACCAGAGCAGAGAAACACCAGCCTAGGTGCTAGAGATCCAGAGATGAATGATTAGATGAGAAAGGCTTGGCCTGCCAGGAGATTAGGGTTCCTTGATTGACAGACATGATCATGAAAAAGAGACTTCAAAGAAAGCTGGAATCTGCTCAGGACCTGAGAGGCTGAAAGGTATCTCAAAAATGGGAATCTGAAATTATAAGAGCAGAAGCTTATAGTGAGGAAATATAAGTAGAAGTGACAGAGCAGTGACTTACAAACTGTTCAGACACAGACACACGTTAGGAAAAACATCTTCCATGGTGCCAACACACAGCATGCACACCCACACACATATACATCTGAAACAAGGTTTACAAAATGTGGCATCATAGCTCACAGCAATTTCAAACTCTTGGGTTCAAGAGATCTTCCTGCCTCAGCCTCCTCAGTAGCTGGGAGTACAGGTGCCCACCCACCACAATGCCCAGCTAGTTTTTCTATTTTTAGTAGAGACGGGATTTCATTCTTGCTCAAGCTGGTCTCAAACTCCTGAGGTCAAGCCATCTACCTGCCTCAGCCTCATGAGCCACAGCACCAGGCCATGTGATACATTTTTAACTTTTCTACTCAATTCTGTTCCATTCATTTGAAAATGTTGGTGATAATCTACTAAATTGATTGTGTGACCAACCATTTTGAAAAACTCTGACCTAAGGAAAGTACAGTTGTTCTGTTCATAGAATGCCTCAAGGGATTCAAAGGGTGGGTATGAGATGTTAAGGGTGAAGGTCACAACCAAAGAAAATATAAAGGATGACAAGGAGGAGAGTCAAGGATCCAAAATTACTGAATGGGCCAAGACTTGTGAAAAATGCCAAGGACAGCCCAATTAGCTTTTCTGGGATGTAAAACCACATGGGAAGAATAGGGTCATTAAATGTGGTGGGTTCACGGAGGACAGAGAAAGGCAAGAACTGCTTGGCTCCAACTCTAATTCAGGTTCCTCTCTCTTAGAAGATAAACTCTAATCTGGAAAAGGTAGAATAATCACAGTTAAAGGGAGCCCAGGGTAGGCAATGAGGCATTAAGTCAGCACCCAGTGGCTTTGGCTTCAATTTGGGGCCCAAACAAGTCATATCTCAACAGGATAATCATTACTACTACAGTTCACATACTGCATACATCCTCATTTCATCCTCAAACTCCTCCCTGAGGTGTTATTTTCCCTATTTTACAGGCAACTAAGATTAACTAACTTTCCAAGGCCACAAAATTATGAAATGGCTGAGCTGGGATTGGAGCTCAAGCATGAATGCAAAGCTTGCATTCCGTCCTCTAACTAAGCCAGATATAAGAAAACCCTACCTAGGCTGGGCACAGTGGCTCATGCCTGTAATCCTAGATCTCTGGGAGGTCCAGGCAGATAGATCTTCTAAGCTTAGGAGCTTGAGACCAGCCTGAGCAAGAATGAGACCTCCATCTCTACTAAAAATAGAAAAACTCAGCCAGGTGCCTGTAGTCCCAGCTATGCAGCAGGCTGACACAAGAGGATCTCTTGAGCTCTAAAAGTTTGAAGTTGCTGTGAGCTATGATGCCATAGCACTCTACCCCAGGGCAACAAAGTGAGACTCTATCTCAAAAAAAAGAAAATAAAAAAAAAGAGAGAGTGTGTGTGAGAGAAAGAGAGAGAGAAAAGAAACCCTGCCTAAAAGCCAGAGGAAGCACCTGAGGACTGCATGCCTGGGTTAATACAGTCCAATTCATGTTTTTCTACCTTATTTTCAAATTATCTTATCAAAGGCTTAAGTCCAAATTTCAGGTCAAAGAGATAAAGTTCAATGTCTGAAATATGTCCCTGATGCACAGCCACTGAATTCTATCCAGGAATCACACAACCTTTGGTAGTGAACTTGCCCTCATCAGCTTCATGTTGCTCTAAAGAAATATCTGACATTAGAAATTCATAAAGGAGAAAGGTTTATTTGGCTCATGAATTTGGATGGCAGGCATCTACATCCGGTGAGGACTCAGGCTGCTTTCACTCATGAGACAGTGTGTGCCAAGATCACGTGGGGAGAGAGGACCAGAGAGAGAAGGGGTAGGGGCCAGGCTCTTTTGAACAACCAGATCTCTTAGGAACTAATAGAATGAGATCTCACCTTTGAGGAAAAACATTAATCTATTCAAGAGGAATTCACATCTGTGACCCAAATACCTCCCATTAGTCCCACACCCAACACTGGGGACCAAATGAGGTTTGGAGGGGACCAGCATGTAAACCACAGCACAAGTATTCTGTGCAAATACATGCTGGTTCCTTCAGGGGTGGGCGGGGGAAGCTATGCATGAAAAAATCCATTCTGAAACTTTTCCCGGGGCCAGATTCACCCTCCTCAGTCTATATTCTACTGCTGCACACTCCTCATTCATTCAGATTCCTTTCTGAGGCCTACTATGTGCTGAGCCCTGTGGTAACCACGCTCACATATATTACCCATTTAATCTCTTTAGCCACCTTGGGACAAAGATGAATATTTTCCCTGTTTTACAGAGGTGAAAATGGAGGTACCAAGAAGCTAAGTAATTTGCGTGGGGGCTGCTTATTTAAATGGATAGAGTTAGGATTTGAAATTGGGTGTCATGATCCCACAGACTTTTTCCTACCTCTTTCACTCCTCTTGTCATACTCATTTTCATGTTTTCCTGTGATATGTATGATTACCCCATAATTTTCTGGAGAAACAGACTAGAATTGTTTTGAGGGTGAAGTGGTAAAGTACTTCAAAAGTTGTGGGTGGTCAGGAAGACACCGCTGCCCTCCTCCTACCGCAGTGCTCGCCTACAATGAGCAGGGGCAGCAGAGGAGCCTGGAGAGGTCTAAGGCCAGCTCTGCACCTTCCTTCTCAAGCCGAGAGACACAGAGGTCACATCAAGGCTACACGCAGCTGACTATGAAGATGGCAGGAGACCCTTGGTCCAGGGGAGCTCTCAGCTCCTTCCTCTGTGCCCCTTCTCCTTGGAAGCTCAGGATGTCCCTTGTGGAATCCCCTGTACGTTTCTACAAGTTCCCTCCATTCCAGGCTTATATAACTTCCTCGCAAATCCCCCAGCTGAGTACAACCTATCTGGAAAGAAAAAAGGAAAGGAAAAAGTGTTCTTTCCAGTCATCTGCCTTGCTCCCTGTGCAGGTATCAGAACATACTCTCTTCCCTTCTCTCCCTTGGGAAGGTTCATGATCTTCTCTGGGACTTAGTTTATTTCATCTTTAACATGAAAATAAAGATCATTTGTTGATCCTCCAGGATCTCTTAGTCTGGTTCTAACATAAGCTGTGGCAGCATTTGAATGCCCTTTGGAAAGGGACATACAAGTCCTCTGGGGATCCTGTTAAACAAGGCTGATTCTACTGCGATAGTGTAGGGCATGTGTGTCTGTCTGTGTGTCCAGGGAGCTCCTTGGTGACACTAGTGGAGTAGCTTTGTTTATAGCACTGTTTGCCACTAAAGGAGATTATATGGTATGTTCGTATGTCTCTCTCTCTTTCTCTCTCTCCCTCTATATATGCACACATACAAACACACTATACTCATTCTCTCTCTGCCACCATACTCATTCTCTCTCTCTCTCCATATATATATAGACAAACATGCAAACACACTATATAATCTCCTTTAGTGGCAAACAGTGCTATAATTAATGAAAACTCACAAACTATAATTTTTACATGATTTGAGAGCTTCTCACTTTTCTCTAACACTTTATTATTTCACATTTAACAATTATTAAAAAACCCACAATAATTTATAAAAACCCTATCTGAAAAGAAGCTTCTAATTAGTCCATGAGATTATAAAATTTTTTTTAAAAATCAAATATATTCAATTTAATTTTATTAATGTTTTACTGCAGAGTAAATAAGATACAATTGACTAAACATTAAGAAACCAGGATGATCATCTAGACTTTGATCTGTAAAAACTTACCATGAAACTTCTGATAAGTTCTTAAAATATCCCCCCCCCATCGCTTTGTATAGCACCTGAAGGTTTATTAAATTATTTAAAGGGAGGAAAGAAACGAACATTTATTGAATGTTAGTACTGTGTCCTAGGCAGGGTGTTAATTGCTTCCCATGGGTGTCTATTACCAGTTCCAGTTTGCAGAGCAGCTAAGGTGTACAGACCTAAAGTGATTTACGGGATCCCAGACTCCAAAAGCAGGCCCAGAACCCAGGGCATGACAGGGTTCCTTCTTCCCCCACGGCTCCCCACTGAAGTGAGTCATTAGCTCACACCTGCTCTGGTCCACACTCAGGGTTTTTGTCATCCTCATCTTAACTTCAAATTAAGAATCTTTAAGCCAGGAAGGTTTGCACCAGGACCAAAAAGTCAAGTGGGGAATGAGGTAGGGTCCCTTTTTCAAGTTATAAACTCTCAAGGGGACTTCCCCAGCTCAGTTATTTGGAATTCTGTTGTTGTTGTTCCCAGGTTGAGAAGTGAATCTGTAGCCAAAGCCCACAGATGTCACGAAAAATTAGTTTGTGTATGCTGACAATCTGTCCCCTCATGCCGCTGACGAGCGTTTCACGTCAGAGGGGGCCAGACATTGGTGAGATCCCCTGCAGAATGTGCATTCAGCGCCTGCCTGCAGATTTTAGGTTAAGACCCTCGACCCTCTTTGGGGGGGTGCCTGGAACTGGCGAAGGGGAGTGGGAAGGATGGGGACTGCCACACACCCCAACTTACTGGTAAGAAGACCGGTGGTCCCGGAAGAGTGCCAGTCCCAGCCCCAGGACGGTGAGGGTGAGTAACTTCGCCATGGTCTAGGAAGGTCAGAAAGAAGATTGGGTGCAGGCATGCAAGCCTAAGAGAGCCCTCCTGCCGCCGCCGACCTGCTCCGGATGCCCTGGGGTTGGCCCGCCCCGCCCTGGCCGGCGGAGGCTCGCAGGGCGCCCGGTGCACTCACCCTGCGGGGTCAATGCTCCAGCTGGGAGCCACAGCGCTTGGCCCGGAGAGCCTCGTGTTGCCTTCTCAGACTTTAAAGAGAGACCAGGTGCCTAATTCCATCAAGGAGGGAGATCAATTAAGTTGAGGGGAATAGAGAGCCGTGGGAAAGGACAGCCCAGCTTTGGCGAGCGCTCCCTTTGTGCCAATTAGGTCCTAATCCTTATGTCTTGCGGGGGTCAGTAACTTGATCGTGGTGACCGAGGAGGAAGTGAGGGCTGTGGTAGGAACCCCGGATCTAACCGTTCTCACCATGCTGCCCTCATGCCACCTTCCACCATCGGGATTTCAAACATCACTTCTGACCTTACAGCTCACTCAAGTACACTGCTCCCCAGTTCACACATTTCCCCATATGGAAAAAAATAAAGCGGGGAGGGAGACAGGGAGATCGTGCTGCTTATGAGCTGGCAGTCGGGGAAGGGCTCAGTACAACCGCGTCTCTCTTCTCTCCTGTTACTATGAATGAAGTGTTCCCTGCTTTGCCAAAGCCCAGCCCTTTCCTTGGCTTTGAGTCCCTTTCCTTCTCCCTTTTGGTCCAAATTACACCTCTCTTCTGCAATATCCATCTCTTCCTCTTTTCTGGAATATTGCCAACAGATACCAACATGCTTTAGTTATCACCCACTGTTTTCCAGGGAAAACTCTCTGTGACCTCATTAACCACGGTCCTCTTCCTCTGCTTCTCCTGAACACTCACTCACTTTTATACCTTGAGCTTCTATGTAATAGTCTGAGCATCCGTGTGCCAGACCGCGATTCTGTGGAGAGGAGAAGTGGCCAGCTAGGGCCAGCCTTCTAACCAGCCCCACCAAGGAAACACATGTGTGAATGAAGCCTTCTTGAATCCGTTAGACCAGCCTGGCCATGGGCTGGACTCCTCTGAGGCACCGTGGTAAATACCGAGTGGAGCAGAAGAATCTACTGGAAGAGTACGATCATAGAAGCCAGGAGTGTGTGAAAAGAGGGGAGTGCTATGAGTTCAGTGTGATAAAGGCAGAGCTGTAACCACTGACATCATGGGTACCACGGTGGTTTAATAAGAGCAGATTCTACAGCTGAGTCAAAGGAACACAAGCCATAGCAGAATGGGTTAAGGAGAACACCATGGAAGATTGGAGATATTCCCCAAGGTTAGCTGAGAAGCCAAACAATCATGTGGTGCTCATAAACAGTGGGTAAGGAATTTGAGTAGGGCTCAGCAAGTTGCCTGGTTAACGTTCTCACCAAGATGTCTAAGATTTTTTTCAAAATGTGTTCAAAACAGAACACTTGATCCGCCCCCCATCCACTTGTTATGCCTCCAAGTTTTTCACATTTCAATAAATGACATCACTACCATCTCGCTGTTCAAGCCCCAAATCTTGTTTCATTCGTCTCATCCCCTTATACCAAATGTATCAGCCAGTCCCATAAGCTCTACTCTGCATTACTTACCTAGGGCTGTATAACAAATTACACTGAAATCTAGCTGTTTTGAACAACAGCCATTATCTCATAGTTTCTGTGGGTCAGGAATCCAAGTGTGGCATAGCTAGATATCCTTGGCTCACGGGTTCTCATGTGTTGATTCTGAGCTGTCATCCAGAGATGCCATCTCCTCTGAAGGCTCAACTGGGAGAAGTGGACAAAGTGAGATCAGCTCCCAAGATCATTCATAAGTTTTTGGGAGACTCGGGTCCCTTGCCGCATGGGCCTCTTCACAGAGCTATAACAGGGCAAGGTAGCTGACTTCCCTAAGGGTGAGCAGTCTGACAGAGGGAAACAGAATGTCCTCAAAGCACTTTTAATAATCTAACTTCAGAAGTGTCATGCCCTAACTTCTGCCATATTGTATGTGTTAGAAACAGACTACTAACTTCAGTTTATGTTCAGGGGGTGAGGAATTGAGCTCCACCTCTTGAGGGAAAGCATTTTTAGCTTTTTACATTCTTTGACATGTATAGAAAGATCTAAAACCACCAGAATTTCCAAATAAATCTTGACTCAACCTATCTCTCTCCCTGTTCACTGCCATCTCTCTAGTATAGGCTACTATTATCCCCAGCCAGGCTAGAACAACCTCTTCATTGTTCTCTCTCTAACTACCCCCCCCAATCTATTCTTCTTATGGCAGCCCCAGTAATCTTTTAATTATGTAAACCAGATTATATCATTTCCCTGCTTAAAATCCTCTCTCTCATACCTTCTCATTTTACTTTCTTATCATGGCCCTAAAGACCCCATAAGATCTACCCTGTGCTTACCATCTGACCTAATTTCTTATCATCCACTCAGCATAATGTTGTCACATCAGGTTTCTTACCATTCTGTACACTTGCTAAGCTCATTGCACTTCACCATCCTTGCCTTTGTTATTTTTTTGTCTGCAACGCTCTCCCCAATCCTCTCACTGGCTCCATGTCTGCTCCTTGTATTTATCTTGTCCTTTGAGTCTTTATTTAAATGTTACTTCTTTGGAGAGGCCTTCCCAGTGTTACCATCTATAGGAGCCTCCCCTTCCATCCTCCCTCTCCACCTACTGGCTAAGACCCCAGGGCTGATGTTGAATGGTTGGCAGCAGTACCGAGTTACTAGTTGTTAGAATAGTGACTATTTCTATACTGGTTGGGGAATAGTCGCTTCCTCAACCCCTTCCCACAAGAGGTCCCCCTTCCTTGGAATCCACCCCTCAATTCATCATGGTCTAGTAACTAAGGTATTATTGTCTGTGTAGTCTAGCAAGTCTCTACAATCCTTTGTTCAGCTGTGACTAATCTGACTGATTGAGGATGTGCTGTAGGACTCTACCACCATATGAAATCATCTTCATCATCTGTTTACCTGTATGCACTCTGTCTTCCTCCACTAGCATATAAACTTCAGAAGGGCACAGACCTTAGCTAATATGCTACCTTCTCTTACAAGAGAGAAATGCATTTTTCTGGAGTCCGGATCTAGTCAATCTTAAGATTTCTTTCTCTAAATAAAGACCTTGGACTTCACTGTTGCTTACTCTATTTTGATAAGTCACAGGGAAGGCCATGGAGGAGTGAGAGGGTCCCATTATTTCCCATTCTCTCTTTCTCCCAACTTATCCTTCTTTCTTCCTTAAGTTAAGTGAAATAAACCAGGCACAGAAAGACAAATACAACCTGATTTCACTTACATGTGGAATCTGGAAAAAAGTTCAACTCAGAAGTCATGAGTAGAATGATAGTTACCAAGCAGGGGCTGGGGAATGGGGAATGTTGGCACATGTTGGCCAAAGGGTACAAATTTCATCTAGATAGGAGGAATAAGTTCAAGCGGTCTATTGTACAACATGGTCACTATAGTTACTAACAATGTATTGCATTATTGAAAATTGCTAAGAGAGCAGATTTTAAGTGTTCTCAAAATAAGTAGAATAAGTAGGTGATGTAATGCATATGTTAATTAGCCATTCCACAATGTATACATATTTTAAAACATCATCTTGTACATGATAAACATATACAATTTTTATTTGTCAATTTAAAATTTAAAGTACAAGATTATGGTAACAATTATCCATAAATTATATAATAGATCAATGTTTTTGTTCAATTTATTTGTTCTGCTCTATGAGACCTGAGAGCAGTGATTCTTGATCTATTTCAAATTGATTCAACTAACTTTAAAACACTGATGAATGTGATAAACACTGTTTACGGATTCATATACATATATAATACTCACATTACATTTCAGGAATTTCCCTACCAAACCAGGAAGCCTATAATGACCAGGTCAGATGTTAAGACATTTGCACCAAAATGTTTACTGCAGCCTAATTCATAATTTCCAAGTCATGAAAGCAGCCCAAGTGCCCCTTGACCCATGAATGGATTCATATACATTGTGGTATATGTATACAGTGGAATACTGTAAACAAAGATAGAGATTTGACATCTTTTATGTTTACCTAGATGGAGCTGGAACATATTCTTCTTAGTGAAGTATCTCAAGAATGGAGGAAAAAGTATCCAATATACTCAATACTATTACAAAACCAATATATAATCACCTACACTTTCATACAAATGATAAAATACAACTATAGTCCAGAAAGAAGGAGGAAAGAGGAGGGAGAGGGGAGGGGAGAGAGAAGGGTGGGAGGAAGAGGGTGTTTAGGCTCCAAGCCTAATATGCACAATGCAAGGGTACATGTCAAAACTATTAAGAGTAGAGTATAGGCTCCGTGCCTGAGCTCAAGAGGCTAGGGCACCAGCCACATACACCAGAACTGGTGGGTTCAAATCCAGTCTGGGCCTGACAAACAACAATGACAACTACAACCCAAAAATAGCCAGGCATTGTGGTGAGCACCTGTAGTCCCAGCTACTTGGGAGGCTGAGGCAAAAGAATCACGAAAGCCCAAGAGTTGGAGGTTGCTGTAAGCTGTGACGCCATGGCACTCTACCCAGGGTGACAGCTTGAGATTCTGTCTCAAAAAAAAAAAAAAAAAGTAGAGTATAAATGTCTTAACACAAATAAGTAAGTGAGGTGAATGTTATGTTAACCAGTCTGAAGTAAGAATTCTAAATTGTATATAAAATCAGCACATTGTACCCTGTAAATGCATTAATTGTATACAGTTATGATTTAATTTAAAAAAACACAAAGATTCTGGTAGCTCAAGCTGAAAATGTACAGGCGCTACAGACAGGACAAATGAATTAACCAATGTGAAAAAAAAGAGTCTTTATCTAGAGGAAAAATGAAAACTCTTGAGTAATTAGTGATACCTAGTGTGCTATGAATTACTTTGAAATGGTCTACTCCCTCTAGACTTTTGTTTTCACTGATCTTTTGACTGAAAATCTGTTTTCCCATAACCTCTCTATTTCCAATTTTTTTCTTTTAGAAAACAGCTTTATTGAAATATTGAGATAATAATATACATATA